GCAGATATTATAGTAAACCATAATGAGATGTGTGAGTGTATCTCTATTAAGCTATCAATACACAGCATACAGGAAGTCAAATCTTTCCATTATGTTCTGCTATAGGCCAGAATTGTGTAACTGCCTACACTACTTAACATTTTATAATGTGATTCCAATTGAATGATAGTATTGTAGGTCAAAATCGTGCTTTTCTGGAACAAAATATCTAAGGGTAAACTGGAGTGAAAGTGGTGCCAAGCTTTTTGGATAAAAGACCTGGCTTATCCTACTAATCTGATGAACAGACTTTGGACATTGAAAGCAGAAGTAAATTTGAATTATACTCAACGCCTAAAGCTAATTGGGATCTGCACAAGTGAAGAAGCAAAGTGGGGTATCCCTCCTATTCCAGGTAGACAATCCCCAATGATAATTAGCAATTTGCCAATACATATATGATCACTTTATGTCTCTTATAATATTTAATCTAGATATAATGCTTTTCACACAGTGCGGGGTCATAAAATGCAGGCAGATCCGGAATTTTTTTTTTTATATGAGATGTCCCTAATTAAGTGAGTATTTGGATTGGCAACCTGCTGCATTGTTGAAGAATTTGTGCGTTGAAAGTGATTTCCACTCCACTTAGCCATTGAAGCTTTTGCACTTTATTTCATTATTTTTACCACAGAAATTCACAGTACAACCCTTTCAAATGTGATATTGGTGGTTATTATGGATTAGGTACATTATGGTAACCAAAAAAATAAAAAATTAATGGCTCTCATTTTTTTACAGGACCAGGAATTCCCATATACACTTTACAGAGCACCAGTGATGACAAAGGTAATCTATTTATTTCAAAATGTGCAGACTTAAACTCAATTTACTTTAGGTCCACTTGGAGTATTTTACAGTCTACTGCTTCTACTACAGTCATACAGACATGACACACATTGACTTGTTTGGATGGAAAACACTTAAATTACCAGTATGTTTTTGGATTGTGGAGCACAAGTCATCATGAACCAACATGTGATCTGTAGCCTTTATCAGGGAACTTGAAGCGTTAATGTTAATTATTTTAGCTGTGTAGACAATGAATGACCCACTGGTTTTTTTTTGTATCTTTCCAAATGTGAAACACTAGAATTCTTAACCCTCAAACTTAAAACTCTCTTTAACAAAAGCCACATAGACTTGAACCTCAGGTTGCAAAGTTCCAAGGGGTTCTACACTACTTTTTCAATAATTTTCATAACACATTCCCTTTTTCAGGCGTTAAGCAAAATCTGTTTTTAATACGTATTATTTTATTTTTCTCTTATATAAGATATTGGAAACTGTGTAGTCAAAAGGAATGGATATCAGGACCATGAATGGCCTTAGGTGGGAACAAAAGTAAAATCTGGCCTCAACTTTAGATTCAGAGCAGGCAAACTGGACTGTAAAACATACTATGGACAGAAAGCTATGCAGTGATCCAGCTTGGATGAACTGCGACCCATAAACACAATTAGGAATTGTGTCTTAGGTCAAAGAGATCCAAGATTTGTTTCTCATTTTCAGAAATAAGAGTTTTAGAGACCAATGAAGAGCTAAACGTCTTACTTCAAGATGTTCAGATGCCCACAAAAGAAATTGGAAACCTTTCTCTCCATGGATTAAGTAAGTATTTCAGTGATTTTGCACTTTGCACCCTGTGTTCATCCATTACTGTGTATGGAAAATGGAATATCTAATAATTATGGAAATGAGGGTTAGGTTTGACCTGCACTGCTTCTTTCAGCAAGGCAACAGACACATACAGTGTCAATTCAAGAGGGCTTTGTACAGCAAATCCTTAGCATAAATCATACAAAACATCTGCTTATGCGGGGCACTAACTAAACTCATGTCAGTTCCTGACTAACAGGCTGCCCCGAATGGGTTCCCCAAAAAAAACAGGCAGCTGTCAGAAGTCATCCTTTTCACCCAGCAGCAGACTCCCACAGGAAAGCGTTTTAAAGAGAGCCCTGAGCATTAGTCATCTCGCATGTATAAAGGCTTGTGGACAGCTGAGACTAATAATGAGGCCTGGCTACCAGGTAACATTTTTTTTTTCGAACTATAAATACGACTGCTATGGCAAATAACACATCAGTAACACTTTGTGAATTGTGCCCATGCAGGTCAGAACTTTGTGTTACTAAACAGCTAACCATCATGTCGTTGTTTTAGATTTGTGGTATCAGATGATTTTACCTCCTCACTTTGACAAATCCAAGAAATATCCCTTGTTAATCGATGTGTAAGTATACAAATATATAATAACAATACAGTTGATAGGTTCAGTACATTTGATCCATTAATTTAGTGCAGAAGATAAATGAGATAATAACTTTTTTTTATTTGTTATATTGTTACGTTTACCATTTTGTATGTTTGATGTTATCCAGAGACTCTTGATTTTCAGCTTCTCATATAACAATGTACTAAAGTGTGTGTTAACATGGACAGGTACGGAGGACCATGCAGCCAGAAAGCTGATCAGTATTTCAGGCTAAACTGGGCAACGTACCTGGCTAGCACGGAGAAGATTATCGTGGCCAGCTTTGATGGCAGAGGGAGTGGATATCAAGGTGACAATATCATGCACCAGTTATACAAGAGGCTGGGGACAGTAGAAGTAGAAGATCAAATTCATGCTGGCAGGTAAGTCTTAATATAATTCCAGTTACTTGAAGGCTTATTTAGTCAAGTTGTAAAAAGAACAAGGAAGGGGTGCATAGTGCTGTAACCCATAGCAACAAAAAAATAGACTTTTTTTGCTATGGGTTACAGCACTTTTAGAGATTGATCTTGTGCATTTTACAGCATGTTTCCTCTTTTCTTCTAATGGTCAAAGACATGCTGCAATATCATCTAGCTACTCAGTAACGTGACTTTTTATATGTCACTATCGGAGAACTATGGTAAAGGAAAACTTTTATCAAAAATATAGCATAGAAAATTGCTACATAGGCCATTTTGTAATTTAATACTATGAAAAACGACATTCACATCTCATTCCGCACTCTCTATAATTCTGTAAAGCCGTCGGAAAAAAAAAAATACATGCAATGTGGCAACCTGGAGGCATTCTGTACACTGTCAGTGTACAGAATACCAGCAGAGTTGTAATTTCCTGCTTCTGTAATTGTCTCACTGATTGTTTAAGAAGTCTGCACTAGAGTACAAAAAAAAAAGTTGGCATCCGCACAATAGGTTTTTCCTTTTTCTTATGATACTTCCTAAGGCTTATCTACTAAAGGTATAGAGACACTGCAGCTTTCCTCATTAGAACACTGAGATTTGCTCAGGTGGTTGTAATGAGTGTGAACCCTCCATTCAGGAGTCTAGAAAGGACAAAGTGAAACAAACAGCTATTTCTTCAGAATAGAGAAGGGTAACCGCTACAAAAAAATTGTTAACATCTTTGCAGTGTAGATTGATTACCCAGAGGGGATTGTTTTTTTTTTTTCTCTACAAAAGGTTTTAAGCACTTGAGAGGTTAGCCTCATAAAATATTCACATCTTGAGAAATACTGTCTTTGTGTGTGTATAATATATGTGTGTCTGTGTGTGTGTATATAATATATGTGTGTGTTTATATATGTGTGTGAGTGTGTGTGTGTGTGTGTATATATATATATATATATATCTCTATCTCTATTATATACAGTATTTTTAAATGTGGATTCTGGTTTTCTGACCCACTACTAGAACTTTTTATGGATATACAGTACATCATAATGTCCTATGTCCATAATGTCCTCTGATGTGTTTGTTGGTCATCCTATGTTTATTTGTTCTGGACTTTGGTTATCTGAGTTCTCCAGGCTGACATACCAGCAGGGTTCTCAGGGGGTGTGGACCCTCCTCTGGACCTTGCAAGATGGTTCCTTTTTTTTTTTTCCTGAAAGTGGACAAACCCTTTATTACAGCATATGCACATTGCTACAACCTGAAGTAACATAAATAGCAGTGTCCTATATAACTTCAGTAGGATCCAGTCCTATCATAAGCAATGAGTACACCAGCTTGCTGATATCAGTTTGTAAACTAATAGAACATATTTTTTTGCTGAGCCAAAACAAATGCCACCTCCTGGTATTTGTATAACACGGGACAGGTGCACTTTTTTGGCTACGGTGACATGTGAGGTGTGATTTTTAAAATACTGACATGTGTTTCTCTTTTAGACATTTTGCATCCTTGGGGTTTGTCGATGAAAAAAGGATAGCGATTTGGGGATGGGTAAGTGCTACATTACTTTTCTTACTTTTGTTAAAAGCGTAGGTGGTCATAAAATATTACTCAGCTGATTGTCAGAAATAAAGATAGAACAGGCAGAAATTATTGCAGCTTGGTATTCATTAGTACATCATTAAATGGATTCTTTTAAATGCAAGCAGTGTAAGTGGATTAATGGCTTTGTAGTTTCATTGGTTATGAAGGGGCATATTTTGGAGATGTTAGAGAGGTGAAGGCAGCGGGATTTGGATGTGTGTAAATTTGTATCTATACTTAAAACTTATTTTTCTGGTTTGGAAGGGTGGGTTGCCATGCAATGCGATTGGCTGCACAGGAACGCAAGGCACATTATGCCTGCGGTTTGGTCCGAACAAAATAGTGCTTGCTGCATTTTAACCGGACCGCAGGCATAACGTGCCTTGTGTTCCCGTGCAGCCGATCGCATTGCGGCCAGAGGGCGTGGCTACGGTGCCATTCACTTCAATGGACCATCACGCCCCCTCCTGCCTCACAACATAGTGAGCCGGCCGCAATGCGATGCAGTTGGCCGGAATCGGGCCGGAACGCACTGTGTCTGGTGTGAATGAGGCCTAACTCCTCCTGGACGCACCATTGGAGAGATTGCTTCATGTCCTGTCTGGTAAAAAGGCTGTCCCCAGGACAGGATGAGGGGAATCTCTCTAACAGCAACATAAAAGTTTATGCTTATAAGTAGGTGAATGCTAGAACCTCTTGTCAGTTTTTATTGCTGGCTGTTTCCCTAGTGCAGATTTTCCCCTCATTTCCTATCTGGTAAAATGTTGTCCCCATAATAAAAACTCTACATGTCCTTAATGGAGGTATTTTTTGCACAACTTTTGCAAAATATGTTGAAGCCACACTGCCTGGTCAAGGCTCTTCTGTTTTTAACTCAAGTTATGAGACAGCGTGATTTTTTTTTTTTTTGCAGGCTATCTGGGAAATGTTTCTGTTTGTACTGTGTAAAGCCCTTTCATGCTCCTTAATTTAAAAGCTAGTTATAAATTGATGTGTGTGGTTGCCATTTGCTTCACATATCTCTGACAGAGCCCCGGATAGCAGTAAAACCTAATGGAGGTTCTCACCTTTTCCCATTCTATCCAGCAAAAAAGAAGTGTTGGATATATACACTTTAATAGAATGATGCATCAAGCCAATGGTAGTTCAGAATCTTTCTCATCAATAGTACAAAGTAACAATAATAACTATAATCTGTGTATATATGTGTCTTTTCAGTCATATGGCGGTTATGTAACTTCTATGGTGCTTGGCAGTGGAAGTGGTGTGTTCAAGTGTGGAATTGCAGTAGCCCCGGTGTCAAGCTGGCAATATTATGGTATGTGACACTAAAACTGATATTCTTGTGTTGGATGGACAATGTGCAATACATTACTACTTAATTATGCCTTCAGAATATGCCAATTGTAATAGCTCTGTATTTCACTCAACCAGTAAACTTCTTGAAGCCCACTTAAACTTTTAGTTTAAATCAGCTAAATACATTCTGGGTGCATGAGAGCAAAATGTGTGCAAAGTAGGACAGTTTGTTTTCTTTAGAAAGCAGCCACAGCCTGAATAGAAAAGCCTGCTCACTGATGTCATCCTGCAGGGAAGTACACTTTCTCTTTCTGTGGAAGCAGTGGTCTCTCTGCAAAGGTCTGACATGCCCTCTGCTGAGTCAGTTCTGCAATCAGCAGAAAAAAATGCTGCCGATTAGAGAGCTTTAGCTAAGCAGTGGATCCTTCTTTACAGCATGCAGCCTATTTATCTATCTATCTATCTATCTATCTATCTATCTATCTATCTATCTATCTATCTATCGTATATCTATCTTTGTATGTGTTACATATATACAGTATATATACAGTATACTATATATCTAGTCATATGCAGTAACATATCACTCTGTGCTTTACAGATACTATTTATACAGAGAGATACATGAACCTGCCTACACCAGAGGATAACCTGAAGAATTATGAGGTATGATATCATGTATTGTAAACATCCAGTAACCATGTCTGCATTGTATTGTTTTCCTTCTTACTGTCTTTCAAGATCTTTAGCCTTGTGTGATTCCTCACAGACTCTTGAGTATGACATATACTGCAAGCAGAGAGAGATGATGGACTATAGAACTGTTAGCACACAGTACAAACTATTGTTAGATAATCAGATTACAGAAACGGCATGGAGGTGTGTTATCTTTATTCAATGGTCTCAGAGACTGATTTAGCTATAATGGGGCCCTAGGTAAGCTGAAAAGTTTGGCCCTTTGAGCTTTGGCATCCCTTTGACATTGTTAAGGATTGCTATATTGAATTGCTTGTACCAGCATGGCCATTCAGACACTAACTGCGTACAACTGAATCCTCTCTTGTGAAGAGACAGGCAGTTGTAGATCCCAAAGTCCCATTTGATGCTATAACGCCAATAAGACAAATTTATTGACACCGACAAGATACTGCTCAGTCTCTCTCAAGGTCTGCTCTGCTCTAACATATTTCAGCACCAATGGGATTGAGGCTAGGTTCACACCTGCACTACACTGCACGACACCCGGGACGTACAATCGTGTGCTAGTGCAAACAGCGATTGCCGCTTTTTTTATTGTTCACTTGCACAGGCGGAATCGTGGCGGGAAACTGCGCGATCCACCCGGTGCGACTGGGGTGCCTTTAGAAAGTAATGACACCCACAGCCCGATCGGTTCACGATTCCCCACTGTGCGTCAATCGTTCACAAAACCGCGCGGGTTGCCGCGCGGTCAGGAGTTGCCTAGGTGTGAGCCTAGACTAAATGTAGAGGTGAAGCATCCTACGGGAACAAAGGTCTATATACATCTACCCTTGATTCATTATACAAAACACATGGAATAGTCAGAGAAACACAATACTCGACCATTAAGCATCCTGTGCCACTGCTATGATTGCGATTTTTTTATATATCAAACAGTCCTATCACAGACCCAACTAGTCAGGAAGCTTACTACAATTAAAAACCTAGTTAGCATAAGACTGACATGTTTTAAATAACATCAACCAAAATAATTTCCTTCAATACATAAACATACATCCTAAATATATTGTGCAAACATACTTCAATCATAACTTGCAACATATAAACTAGGCAGTTGCACAGCTTTGACTAATTGCAGTATCCCTCTGATTTACTGCAGCAATTTGTCACATATGTGCACTACTCCAAGTGGTCATGTGGTAAGGTAGTTGAAAAATCACTATCTGTCTTCTCTAGACTGGGAAAATAATGATTAAAGGTCCCACTTACACACCACCCACTTCATCTAATAAAAAGAATGCTGCCACCAAACCAAACCTGGTTAAACATTCAATTCCTAATTTAGTATATAATACTCAGAGTAACTTACAAAGACACTTGAAGCTTACATTTAGCCAAATGCATATAAAGTATAGAATTATTAAAAGAGCATCCTCAAATGTGGTTCATATACCAGACAAACGCCAGAACTTAATAATTTAATGATTTATTATGAATATATATTCACAGTGCATATATTTACAAATAGATGTTGCATAAGACAGTTACACAATACAAACAGGTCAAATATAAAAAGGAGAAAATTGATAGAAATCCCACTTACAGAAGCACTCGATTCTATCCCAGGAGCCTTCCGGCAAGGAAAATGGCAACTGGCTACAAAATTGGATTTTGTCCCCAAATAAAAAGGTTCTATGTTGACCCCTTAGCTACGAATCACATTTAGATCTGCTATGGGGAAAAAAGACAAATAATAAAATGTTTCTGATCATCTGGAAACAATTAGTTCCTATTTCCAATCACTTTGATGAGTAAGAACCTATATAAGAAATGGCAGGGGAAACCTTTACAAATGATCACAATTTTAAAGTAAAATAATGTTTGAGGAAGGATTGTGGTGTATGTTTATCTGCTGTTATTTCAAGTGGTATATTATAGTTCTCTCTAACCCAGTGAGAGTTAAAATTCAGTTAGTTTCCCATTATACAGACACTGTGTATTTTCACTATTTAAACTAAAACCAATGAATATTTTTTATTTTCTCGTTCTGCAGAGTTCGACGGTCATGGCAAGAGCGGCGCAGTTTAAGGATGTGGGATACCTCCTAATCCATGGCACAGCAGATGGTGAGTCTCCTCTAATTAGTCTTCTACTACCCATGACAGATTTCCAGCATCAAAACTGACAAAACAGAAACTTGATGGCCAAATGTTATATTGTGATTACCGAGACAGAACAACACTAATTGTCTACAAATGTAAATTATTAGCCGTGTAATTATTTCATATGAATCGAAATCTGTTGCTACCGAGATTCTACCACATGTTCAAGATTAACTGTTTTTGCTAAGGAATAGGATTTAAAAGCACATCAAAAAGATAGGGGCAAGAAAAGTACCTTCACCGCAACCTAACTCCACCTTCTGTACCCATAAGGACAAATACTCACAGACATTATTAAATCATAGGGTGCATATTTCATTCAGGAGTGCATCAGATACAGTATGTATTTACTAAGCATTTCAGAAGTCTTCTTGAAACTTGTAAAGCCCTAAAGCAACCTTCTGCTTCAATCCAGTAATGGGGACCATAGACGTTACTGAGAGTGTTGTCTGTTGCTTTAAAGTGACCCCTTGTATAATTTCTTCAATGCAAGCAAATTTACCTTTGTCATGTGTACTAAAGGTTCTGCTCCTTACTTTAAATTCATGCTTTTGTATGATACCACAGTTAATGCTGTACAGCCCACAGTGACTATCAGAGCTATACTCTATCATATGGAAACACTAGTGTTGTTTAACCGCTCCCCCCCCTTCCCCCTCTCCCCTTAGCCGTTCATCAAATGCCTTGTATTCTGTAAATGGGCTCCCTTACAAAGGATAGCATAGTGAGGGGTTGGAACCCCTGTTAGATTTGTACTGTGTCTCTGTCTGCCCTGGTAAAAATTGTCAAAGCCACTAAAAGTTAAGGAAAACCCAACATTCTGAGTTGTCACCACAATAGCAAATGAGGGAAGGTCTTACAACAGGGACTAGTGAGGCATTTATTCCCCACTAGTTCTGGTCCATTAATTGGTGACCTGAGAGCACATTTTGTTTAAAACTTTGTACTTCATAAGAGGTGTTTTCCAATACACTTACTGCAGTCTTCTTGCTGTCTCTTGCATCCAGAAAGCCTTATGTGTCAAATTATCAGTACTGTTCAGACAAGTTGTTTCTTAACTGTCGTGGACAATGGTACATGAGAAGCTGAGTAGCATCCTCAGGGATACTCGTGGCAAATTTAAGACCCTTGGATGCAATACCTGCACATTTCTGAGACTCTTTAGCCTATCGTTTGTGTTGCAGTGCCGACTTTTATCCACACTATCTTAAATGCCTCTCTAACCTTTTTCCACTCCTTCTCTTTCCTATTTTCTTACCCCTCCCCCCTCTTTTGGTTCTCTTTTACTGTTCTTTTGAGCTCATTATGTATTGTTTGTTCTTGTTTTTGTTCCTTTGTTGGCATCTGATATGTCTGATTTGTCACAAAGGCCAACGTTTTAATTGTACAAGATCTCTTCTTTAAATTTTTTGGGGTGCTTTCTAAGCCTTGTGTTCTACCCATGGTAGTGACACTTCACTCAAGTTGATTGTGTATCCATGCTTGTCATATGAGATGCATTGTGTATTTTATTTCCTTGTGTTGTCAAAAATGTAATAAAAATTTGTGAAAGTTAAATTGTCACTACTGAGACCATTTTAACAACCACTAGTCAGAATCAAACCTGCCTTGGAAGTTTGAGTTGAGATACATTGTTGAGAAAGAGAGAAGGTTACTCTCCCAAAGCTTCTGAAAATACTTTGTCATCAAAATGCCTTCCACCTTAAACACCTCTTTCAGTTTATCAGAAAAAACATATAAACAGCGCTCTCGGATGGGCAAAGAGTTGGCTTAGAGGCGTGTATGCAGCCCTGGAAAACAGGAGGAGAACCTGTGAATGCAAATGTTCAAGAAACCAAGAAAGGGCGCAGAGAACACTGGCTAGCTAACGAAGTTGTAATGAAGACTAAAGGTAGTGGCACTTACGCGTGATTGCCAGGATCTGGAGATGGACGGCCGGTATGGAGGATCGGGGCACTCGTGGTGTGGTTCCGACTGTAGTCGATGTGCTGATCCGAGAGGTACATCCACAGGAGAGTGTAGACAAGAAGAGGGGACTTCGTCCGAAGTGCCGTTGGGGGTCTGTGCGGTGTGGAGGAGAGGCAGGGAGATCGCTGTGGTGTCGGCAATGGACAGCGGGCAATGGACAGGGCTGTAGCAGCCACAGCTGTATGTGTCAGCGGGCGGTCACTGTCAGGTCTGCTGGGGACAGTGTGCGGAAGCAGCTGACAGATGCCGTTTTCCCTACATATCAGTCTCCTATGGCTTTTATGCACATCAAGCTATTAAATATATGCCCGGTCCCAACCACTCCGTTCTCAATTTCAAACCGCGGGATTACCGCTTACCACCACTAGCTCCGCCCATCTGTCACTTTTTAAACTCGGCGTATTCCCGCCATCATCTCACTGTTTTACCCGAGCTTGAAAAAGAGGCAATACCTCGAAACGCGTCGCTCTTGTCCGCTTTGATCCCTCTCCATCTCACCATCAACTCGATCTTCTGCATCTGACAGCTACTTCCGTACACCGTCCACAGCAGACCTGACAGCGACCGCTCGCTGACACACACAGCCACGGCTGCCACAGCCCTATCCAATGCCCGGCTCCTGTCCGATTTGATCCCTCTCCAACTCGGCATTTGATTCGACTTTCGGCATCTGTCAGCTGCTTCTGCACACTGTCCCCAGCAGACCTGACAGTGACCGCCCGCTGACACATACAGATGTGGCTGCTACAGCCCTGTCCATTGCCGACACCACAGCGATCTCCCTGCCTCTCCTCCACACCGCACAGACCCCCAACGGCACTTCGGACGAAGTCCCCTCTTCTTGTCTACACTCTCCTGTGGATGTACCTCTCGGATCAGCACATCGACTACAGTCGGAACCACACCACGAGTGCCCCGATCCTCCATACTGGCCGTCCATCTCCAGATCCTGGCAATCACGCGTAAGTGCCACTTCCTTTAGTCTTCATTACAACTTCTTTCAGTTTATGCAGATCTGTGTACAGTAACATTTATAATAAATATCTTATAGACTTATGAACATAGCCACTTATAACAATATGAGAGAAATTACAGCAGCAAGATTATAGCACTGACTTGGAAGGTCTCATGTATTTCCTAATTATGAATTTTACATTGCTTGGGTATCACAATTTTTATGCTTTTGTATGAAAATCATTTTCACCATAGTTTTCATAGTTCTACAAGCTTTCATTTCATAGTTAAATTTTTTTAGTATTAGAAAATATTGCTTAAAATATATTGGTTGCTGCAGAAAACACCCCCACTTTCTAAAGAAAAATGACCTGTCCAACAATACTCAGGCACGAGATAATCGGTTTACTGATTTTTTTTGTTCTTTTTCCAGATAATGTTCACTTCCAACAAGCAGCCCAAATCTCCAAAGCACTTGTGGATGCAGGAGTAGACTTTGAAGCTATGGTAAATACATTTTTTATACAGTGCTCTGAACTTATGTCTTTAAGCAACCAGTTAAACATGCATTTTAACTTGCACATTTTAATGCATGTATACGGATGTGCATTGTTTTCAATAGTGCTAGTTTACATTTATTCACATGCATTGGCCAAAAAAAGTCACATGATGTCATAAGGGCTTTGGATAGCAAACATGTCTCAAATGCACCTCAAGAAGGCACTGCAACACTAGTGCATGAGTGTGAAACCAGCCTAAGGAAATCTGTCAGGAACATACTTCAATATGTATTGCTGAGCAGCCAACATCTGCCTTGAAATATACCTTGGTGATTGGATTAAGGTGACTGCGTTTCCTTTGTGGTTATAAATGCTGGGCTATGTGCCATATACTCACTAGATATAAAAAGGATATGGCTAAGGTGACACTAAATCTTAACTATTAACAGTACTGAACCTTATTTGTGTAATACAAATCATCTCTGAATTGGTGCTGACACTGTCCTTCTTTCTTGAGGGTGGTTACTTTTGTTCCCTATGGTCCCTGTGTGTGTTTTTAAAGTAGTCACTACTCCAAGCTCACTCCCTTGATGGACTACAATCTCAGTACAAATTTGTAAACTAAACGTGAGATTGTAGTCCATCACAGGAGTGAGCTTGGAGCGGTAGCGACTTTACAGCACACTCAGGGACCATGGGAAACAAAAGTAACCACCCTTCAGAAGGAAGGACAGAGTATGAGCACCAATTCAGAGATGATTTGACGATCTACAGCCAAGTGATACACAAATAAGCTACATTTGTGGTAATAGTTAAGTTACTTGAATGCATTTTTAAAGTTTAACTCCTGAGTTTAGTGTCAGTTTTAAGCAGAGAAAGGCCTCCAATATCATAGAAATAGTTTAGACTGACTTTAAACTCTATACTATAAATATTTTTATTTAAAATCACACTCTTCATACAAATAGCTATGTTATATGGCCCAAATTTGTGGACATCTGACCATTATACCTATATGCTTGTTGGACATCTCATTACAAAACCTTGGGCATTGATTCGGAGTTGCTACCACCTTCCTTCCCATTTGCAGCTATAACAGCATCCACTCTTCTTGCAAGGCTTCTCACATGATTTTGGAGCACGTCTTTGGGAATTTGTGCCCATTCAGCCTAAAGTGCATCTGTATTATCAGGTACTGAAGTTTTATAAGAAGACTCGGTTTGCAGTCGGTGTTCCAATTCATCCCAAAGGTGGTCAGTAGGGCTGAGGTCAGACTGCTTGAGTTTTTCCACACCAAACTCCAAACCATGCTTTTATGGATGTGACTTTGCACATCTGAACTCAATAATTTGAAAGATTTTCCACTTTCTTTTTACCATATTGATTTTCCCTTCTCTTTCTCTTTTTTAGTGGTATACAGACAAAGACCATGGGATAGGTGGCTTGGCAAGCAGACATATCTACACCCATATGAGTCATTATCTGAAGCAATGCTTTAATCTTCAGTAATCAAAGACAATATACTTGTATGTGCCATGATTGACCGGTACACTGTGATGAGTAAAAGGAAGCCATTTTGAATCCTTAGGGCAACCAGAGAAGCAACACACAAGGAAAATGACTTAGAAAACTACTGTAAGAATAAATGAGACGCACAGTGAAATGGACATGCTTTCAGTCATGGCTGAAAGTGTGGATGATATTAATGAAGAGATCTCACCCATAATTCTTTATAACTTTGCTAATTTGGAGAGTAAACTATTTATATGTGAATGTCAAACTGGTACTATATGAACTGTTAGCCGAATTAGGATGAATAGACTTCTATTCTGGAGAAAATATCTTGTAGACCATGGAATATGGAGTCCTATAAATTTGTTCCAGATTGTTTTTTAATTAGGTTGTAATATAAAAGGGATGTACTCAGAAATACTAAATGAGAAAAAATATTATGTCATTTAATTCTTTGACAATGAAGATGGTTATAAATGTTATTGAATAAAACAAAGAAAATATCTGTACTATCAAGTCGAATTCCAGCACTTATTTTTTTTTTTGGTTTATAATTTTTGTCATGATTTTATTGTTGCCTGTGCCCCTCCTGGGGAGACTTCACTTTATTACCTTTCTGCATGACAGGTTGACAGGTGTGATGGGAAGAGAGAAATCTCTTCAATAAACTACAAAAACTGTTCTTTCTTAGTATAGTGGAGAAGGGATAGAACCTCTCTTAGGCTAAATTTGCTTTTAGGGGCCACTGACAATTCCAGGAGTAGCAGATGGTGAAGATTTTTCAACCAGCATAGCTCATAAAAACCATGAAGATGGGGCAAGGGCTCCCAAAGGGGTGTCAATTAACCACTTTAGGCTTGACAAAAGGGTGTGTATTGACCCATTTTTGATTCTAAGATTTAAAAAGGTAAGTCAGCCCCCTCACACAAAATGTTATAGTTACTGTACCTCTCAATGCTCCTGTGACATCCACACTGTGCAACCCATGGGAAGCCATACAGCTGCCAATGCAAACTATACAGCCAGATCCTTGTTTCTTCTGTGCATGCACAGACAAATCCCATTCATTCTTATTGGGAGGCCTTCTGTCATTGGCACACATAATAGGCCTCAACATAGGAATAATAGGTTTTCACTGCACACTTGTAGAAACAAGTGAAGGACCAGCTTGAAAATTTGCAATGGCAACCATACATCTCCCCATGGAGTATTCTTTATTTAATCTCACAGTAGAACGGACAAGTGAGTATAAAACCTTGGGGGGGGGGGAGACATAAAAGGTAATTAGACCAAAGAACACGTATCCATTAGGACCAGAGACTCAATGTGAACCTTCTTCACAGACAAAGACAGATAGCTAAGACTCTGAGCCTGAGGCCCCGGGCACCCGCACCGCCTGCACCGGCGGTAGTTCCGCCACTGACTCGTGGTAATTTTGAGTTTTTGGACAGAAACCAAGTTTTCTTCCTAGTCGGCAACTTTTCAACATTTAAAATTAATTGGTTTTGCTCTATTGCTCTTTCCATCATAATTTTCACATACACAGCATTTGTTAAACTCATATTAAAATTATATAAATGCTCTTATATAATTGCCAACATTTCCATAGACTTACTTACACCCACTGAGTTATATCCTTGCAATGTCTTTTTAAAAAGAACAAAATTACATTAGCATGTAATGCAGATTTTGCCCCTAACAATTATTTTTCTATTAAAAACTGCTGGGTATATATAAAGGGAAAAGCTGAACAAACATAAAAATATATGTAGGATTTTGAAAACTATAATCATTTTTTTAGCAAATGTCACATTTAATTCACTTGAAAACTGAACTCCAGACAAACAGCTAAATAATGGTGCCAAAGAATGTATACTAATTTTCAACAAGTCCCAAAATGTTCACAACATAGGTGACAACAGATGTAGCTAAGGCATGTAGTGGGGTCCTCTCTTCACGCCCAACCTTTTGACTGGACAGTGAGTAGCAGCAAACTGGTGAGGTCATCCCTCTACTTACTTACTATTACTACTTATGTATTCTCCTATCAGCATACACCTTGACTGGCTCTTGGTCTTGCCCCTCCCTCTCCCAAAGAGCTGGTGTGTGGTGGATTGCAAGGAATTTATAACAAAAAATTTGATTCAGGTACTTACACTAGTCACATTAAAAAAATATATAAATGATTTGTATATAAATCTGCATTGATTTGCGTTTTTCATATCTCTCTGTAGTTAGGCTTTATTATATGTACAGTGACTCCTCTGATCTGCAATGAATCATGGAATATATGAATCTTGATTGCCTGTATTCATGATTTGCATAAATTTTCAAACACCAATCTACAGGCAGAATAATTTTAATTTGCAGAAAATAATCAGATTTCCTGAATTGACCAGATGTGCTTATTGTAATACGTATAAAACTGAAGTTTTGTGAGATGTATTTTTTTGGGGGGAAATATATTTTGTACCAGACATGCTTATGCCGTTATCCAAGTAGATATTTCTAAATATGTTTACAACACATTCAATTGTAAATTATGCTGTGGAACAAAACAATAAAGATGTGGCCTGTGAAGGTCTCTGTTTGTTGTGTAGAATTCTTATGACACCTGTAATTATTTCCAACAAAAATACAGTTTTAACTGAATCCTATTAAAGGGCCACCAGCAGCTGTATTAGGGACTATTCCAACCCAGACTTAGATGAGTCTCATGTCCAAGTAGTGGTATTCACAAAGGACATCTCTGAACATGTTGCATTAAAAGATTTTCATGCTCAAATGCACACTACATTAAAGTGACACCAACATTTAGAATTTAAAACTTAAAAATGCATTCAAGGGCCTTAAGTAACAACAAAAATGTATCTTATTTGTGTATCACTCAGCTGTAAATCCTCAAATCATCTCTGAATTGGTGCTGACACTGTGTTGTAAAGTACTTAGATTAGGTTTCTTTGGGTGTGCTTTCTTGGTCTGCAACTAGAGGGACCACAGGGCGCAAAGGGGAGGGGGTACAGGAAATCCAACACTCCCAAACAACAATCCCACTCCAAAGTGTCTGATCTTCAAGGTTCTACAGCAGGCAACCTCGGCACTCCAAGTGCTGTGGAACTACAAGTCCCATTGCAATATTCTGACAGGCAAGCCCCACTGAGGCAGAGGCATGTTCTACAGGCACTGTAATCTCTTCAATACAGCAACGTTCGGTGGCATGGGTGGTGGGAGGGGTAAGTATTATTAACTGTCTTTTTTTGAGGTGGCCCTTTTTTTTTTAAACATTTTTATTCCAGGGACAGTCATTCAAATCAGCTGACAAAATGTCTTCTATTCCCGGAGTAAACAAATGTAGGAACAAAGAGTGTGCCATAGCACTAATAAGAGTTTAGACAATATTTTGTTTACAGGAAAATAATCCAATGCATTTCGGGGGCTCAAAACTCTCCCTTCCTTAACATATTATAAGATTGTCTAGTTACATAGTTACATAGTATTTGAGGTTGAATAAAGACATTAGTCCATCAAGTCCAACCTATTAGGATCTCATTCTAGGAGTACCTGTACCCCTGTATATTACCTGTACCCCTGTATATTACGGTCCCTTAAGAAATCGTCCAAAAGTTTCTTGAACAATTCCACATTATTTGCTGAAATCACCGCCTGTGGCAGTGAGTTCCAGACCCTAACTGATCTTACTGTGAAGAACCCCCTTCGCCCCTTGTGCTGGAATTTTTTTTCCACCAATTTTAGGTGATGGCCTCTAGTTTTTGTAACGGAGTTAATTTTAAACAGTTTATCGCTAATGTTGCTACCACCATTGAACATTTTGTACATGGAAATCATATCCCCACTTAATCTCCTCACCTCTAATGTGAACATGTTTAAATTTAGTAGCCTTGTCTCGTAGCTCTAGTAGTCTAGGTCTAAAAGATTAAACTACGGTATATTAAACTAAATGAAACTATATTAAAGAATGTATATTTATTTCTCAGAGTTACGATTGGGTCTAGTCTTTTCATGCAGGGCAACCCCTTAAACCTTTCAGATGTACTCCTGGACATACCTATCACATGCTCAGAACCCCCAGTTTATACCATTCCATTAAATTAGAAAACTACATTATGTACAGTATACTTTAGGTGACACAGGGCCAGATGACAGAAGAAGGAATGTTTTTAACCTATGCTGCTATAGAGTGCCATTGCATGTGCATCATTTACAATGTGGATGTGTGTTGGAGGCCTACTAGAAAGTAATAGGAATACCCACAAAACACAATGTTTATGTCCACTGCACATCATGTGTGTGAAGTCAGACTTAAAATCCATTCCACTGGCAACAATCAGGTCCATCAGAGTAACATACCCTGCAATGCCTTTTACACCAATCAGTTCTTTTTCATGTGTATGGAAAAATCAAAGAAAATATTTCACGACAAAGAATAGAGAGCTGTTCTAAATATTTATTTTCACGTAACAAAGCAAAAAGCACACAATACATAAACATCTGTATCAAAGTACATCCAAAATGGTATGATCCTTGACAGAAAAAAAAAAAAGATCAGAGGGAAGCCAGTGTGTAACAATTGGCATACTGTCCCTTGCCTTCTGCTATCATTTTATTTGGCTGGGATAAATGATGCATTTAAAGGTCACATTCCACTATCCAGCTGTTTTAAAGGGGTTCTCATCCCTTTTTAGCACTTTGTGGCACTGTTGGAGTAGTTAAGTACCTACAGAAATTGGCAAAAGATTCTCCTACTTTATGAGAAGCTCCTAATCACCTGTGAATTAATGCAGCTTTATGCATCCCTTATACACTAAGTGGCCAGATTATTATGACCACCTGACGTTTGTAACCTGACGTTTGTAGGCTAATTAGCTATAATTTCGCGCTGAAGTTGCTAGAGGGCCAGACCATTATAAATAGGGAAGCAGGTTGTTTACCACGACAGTAGAAGTTATTTTTTTTCTGAAGATATGGGTAAACAACGCGATTTAACTGCCTTTGAACGTGGGATGATTGTTGGCGCTCAAGCCATGGAGCGAGTATCAGCAAAACAGCAGAATTCGTTAAATGTTCAAGAGCAGCTGTTGTTAAAGTGTTTAAAGACTGGACTGTCAGCCGAAAATCTGGGTCTGAATGTGCGAATTGTGGCCGTCAGCGACTAGTCAATGTTAGGGCAGAACGGAGAGTGGCAAGACTGGTACAAGACAACAGAAGGGCAACAGTGCAGTGTCAGATTCCTCGCATCACCTTTCAACATCTTGTGGAGTCACAAGGTGGCCCAACA